GTGGACTGTGGTGTATACAGCGTGTGCCAGCTCATTACATGGCCTTGGTCGGAGATGATTTTCATAAAGCCCTCACCATGTGCATTGAAGGTAGTTTCGAGCGTGTCATCCGCTGAGAAAACCCCAACCGGTTCTGGGATTGGGTATGGCTTATAGTTATGTAGGAATTCGAGTTGATTCGTGGCAGATATATTAGCGCCTGTGTCTGTTTGAAGCGTTGGAGAATTCGGCTGTGTAAGTGTCTTAARGCTCTGGGTGGAGTCTTTAGTGAAAACCTGTATGTGGTTCTTCATCCTGCGCCTATRTGTGTGATGTGTCATCCGGAGGGCTGGTTTCCCTGTATTGTACTCGGACGCAAGGGAATCGTTGTGGAGAGTGAAGGGCGTAAGGTCATTCCCATGAGGATATTTATGGAGATGATCGTTTGAGCTGTCCGTGGTGTGTTGGCTGTTATGGCTATCCGTTATGTGTTGGTTATCATGGCATTGCATACATATGGACTYGTCTAATGCCTCCGCAAGGGTGTATTTATGTGTGTGTGGTGTTGGTTGTGTKTGTTTGGTACTATCGTGTACGATGGATGTACTGGAACGGAGTCGGTCGCGGGATTGAACGGAGCGCGGTGGAGGATCAGTATGGTGTTTCTGCGTGGGTTCAGTACTGGTGTGAGCTGTAGGCGTGTTGTGTACGGGAGGATCAGGTCTTGCGGTTTTAGCTTGTCCCCCAGGAATAGGAGCTTGTTGTCCAGTATCAGTACTGTTCCTAAGGAATCGCATTATCTTGCTCTGTTGAGGCCCGTAGTTCGTTGGTGRCAATGGTGAGTTCGTGAGTGGKGGAGGATCGTTCGTAGGTGTCGGTGGTTTGTGAGTGAATATGTCATTGTCATGTGGCTGAGAGCGGGGAGTAGGGAAGCCCTTCTTGTCTGTAGATAGGGGAGGCCGTGCCTCGCTAAAGACACGGCGTGTATCCTATTCATCTGGGTCGATAGGAACCACAGTAAAGAGGTGTGCTAGTTCCTCTCGTTCGCTTTCATGTTCTTCCTCCGTAACAGATCGTCCATTGAGGTTGTGTTCAAAATGATGGACCACATTCGTGGTGTTCATATTGTTATGTTTGATTGCGTTGGTGCGGAATTCGTCTGGTTTAGCCTTGGCATATTGTTGTGCGAAGTGGAGTTGAGCTCCAAACCGACAGATTTGATCCCCAACATTGTGGCCATATAAGTGGCAGCAATCACATTGCACCTTGTTCTTGTATTCAAAACGGCGTCTGGTATTGTCCACGACTTTGGTGACCACTGGTGGAGTGGGTCCCATTGTCTTCCGGTGTACATCCGGAGTGTCAATAATAAAATTGACCATTGTTGTTAATTTGAGATGAGCAGGGACTGGTTTGTTGCGTGCGTCCGGAGTGAGCCGGCGATGATTGTCCAGCTGAACCAGGAGACAGCAACCAGCGGCATAATTATAGTGCGTCATCGTCTGGTAGATGAGTTCATGGCATTGGTCCAATTCCGTGTATGTGTGTTTATGGCCCAGCTTGCAAGAGCGGACATGGTCTAGGAGTTTGCCCACATATGTACCCGGATCATCCTCTTTGGTCCATGTCGGTCCCCATCCATTTTGAATGGGTTTGAGGTAGTCCAGGGAGTGACGTGCAAGAGCATACAATGCATCGTATCCCCTGTTGTTGATGGAGTATGGAGCAATGAGGCCCCTCAGGAGAGAGTTGTCCTTAGTGGGCAGCAATCGGGTGAGGCGACGGTATATGTATGTACTAATCTTTTGGATATTGTCATCGGTTTCCTTATGGTCAGGTGGTAGGCAAGATTCCCATCGCGGGAGGTTTTCAAGTGATGCAATAGGAAGGCTCTCGAAGGACATCATTGTATGGAATTCGGTGTAGAGTTCCGAGAATTCGGACGAGGTAAGATATCTGTTCGTGGTGGGGATGAGATGGTGGTCCAGATCTTTAAAGTCCATGGCATGTAGTGCTTTGCTAATGCGGTGGTTCTGGTGATGAATGGAATTTTCCATCATGAGGTCATGTTTGTGATTCATATACTCATCAAATTTTCTGTCACTCTCGCCCTGCGGTTCTGTCGTAGTTGGGTTCCGTGCCCGTGATCYCCATCGAGATGGTCGTTGGTTGTGGGATGCATCAGATGCTTGTGTTGGCAATGGGTTTCCTGTGCGGCTATTCCCYGAGCAACTGTCCATTCTATCACACTCGGTCGTTGCGKTGTGGTGGTCAAGGTGGTCATKAACCTGGTATTTGATGAGGTCTTTTAAGGCTGGTGACGTGGTGACATAGGAGTGAATGGTGTTATCTATGTTGCGCCGRAAATCCGGAGAGGTTACCAAATTGGAGAGTGATGTTGAGATCTGTGTGGATATCGTGTCTGTAATGGACTTATCAGTGGTTATGTGATGAGTTATAGTTYGTTCAATATCCGAGGCGGCGATGGATTTGGCGATATCGATGTCCTCGTGAGCTGTAGCAATTGTTTTGTCCAGTTCRGCAGTGATGGTCTGCTTATGGGAGGATAGTTTCGCGATGTGGTTGTTGTACACCTGTTGCATAGTGTGGCGGGTCTGGGTAAGGTCGGTTGTAACCTGTTGTATTGTTTCTTTTGCTTGGGATGTAATTTCACGCTTTGCTTGAGCGATGACTGTATCCTTGAGGCTTTGAACTATTTGGTTTTTATGTTCCAGTTTGTTCTGTATAAGGTTTTGAATGGTTTGGTCAAACGTTTCTTCCATGGCTCTTGTTTGTTCAAGCACCGCGGCTGTGATCTGTTTTTCAATGTCCTGTCCTTTCTGGTTCAGTGTTCTGGTGCAGTCATCCAATAGTGTTTGGAGTTGACGTGTCATATCAGCAGTAACAGCTGTGGGTGTTTTGGTGGTGATACTACTGGCTTCATCCCGGAGTTGCTTTAAGTGGATGGTTTCGTTAATGATGGTCTCCAAGACAGAGGATGCTTTGGATGTACGTTGATCAAGTGCCCATGCGGTGTTGGCAGCTGCCTCTATTTCATGTTCAAGGTTGTCGGCCCGTGAGAGGGAATTGAGTTGTTCCTGAAGGGTTTGAACGGCTTCCTGTGCCTGTTTAAGGGCTGTGGTAGTGGTGAGGAGCTCCGTACGCGTTGCGTTAAGCTCAGCATTCGTAGCTTGGATAGTGGTATCGAAGTTTTGTTGTAAGGATCGAATACGGGCATCCATAGTGGCGARGCTTCGGGGAGTGTYTGTACCACGTTGTGGATGATCCGTTGGAGTAGACTCAAGACTATCTTTCAGGGATTGTRGTTCATTATCTATGCCTTGGTAGGTTTTGTCCATGGTTGCCAGTCTGTTAGTCATCGTTGAAGATGAGTCGTCRGCTGTTGCAGGGTCCTTGTTTTTGGTGCTGTCGTGGTCTCCAGTACCTGATKTGGGTGTATTTTCAGTACTGGCACGATGACGCTCCCTTGCAAATTGTTTTTGGAGATCCTTTGGTGCTATTTCATTGACATCCAAGGAATTTGTGGAGGTGTCATCCTCCTCAGCTGCTTGGGTCCTCAATAGTGGGTGTTGTCGTTGGAGTTCTTCACTTGACGGTGGGTCCGGGCTCGGGATGAGGTGTGCCGGTGGTTTGGATTGTCTGCGAGTCGTGATTTCCACCGGGGGTGTGTCCTTGTTAGGAGGTAGTAGTTCATCCATGTAGGCAAGGAGTGCTGCACTGTAAAGGTACCTATCCAGTGGGGGAGTGTTGGTAGGTTGGATTCGAAAATGGTTGTGGTGAAGAAGTTCCTTCAAGGTCTCCCGCAATGCCACAATCTTATCAGTGTCTTTCAACGATGTGGTATGGATAACGTTGAGAAGTGACGAATATTGGATTGGCGTGGGTGGATAACGGGGCTTGAATGGGAATAGAGAGGAGTCATAGATACTCGGGTCGGAGCTTACGGGGAAGACTAACTGTATGGCTCGTATTTCTCGTTGGATATTGCCATCGTAACCAGTTAGTTGTAATCGCGGATTTTCCGATTGTTTTGGTGGGGTTCTTACGAGGTATCTTCCAATCTGCGATTTTGCAGATTGGCGTGGCAATGTAGTGCCATGTCTGGGTGTCCTCTTCTTCTTTTGCTTGGTGGTTGGATAAGGCATTGTTAACCATAGATTTGTGAGGGATACKATCGTCTATTGTTGTTATGGTTGTCTTGGTGTTCGGTGACACCAGGGTTCTGGAATCCAGGGTATYGTGGGRAGCTACGTGGTTTAATACTGCTGGATTTTGGTCGGAATTTTCGGCACTGAAAATTCCGATGAAAATGTCTTCGATCCGTGAAGCTGTTGGGGATGCTCCAGAATCGAAGGGGATGGAGTAGTGAATCAGTCTACTCAATACAACAGTCTTTGTGGATATTAGGCTGATGAGCACTCGAGGTGAGTCTGTTGTTGTTGCTCATAACCTGTGAAATAGTGATATACTCCTTAGTGTCGTATGAATACGTGTTTACAATAAAGAGTGAGCTTATTCACTATCTACTCGTGATTTGGAAGGCTCA